TCCAAATCCATATCCTGACCCCTTCCCAGTGCTATATAGTCGTAATGGCTTGGTGCTTTCCCCCTGATAGTTTCCTTTCCTTCCTTCGGGTGTGAGTGACGGAGTTCTCCTTTCAGACGCTCGAGGAATCCACAATACCGTGATGTAGTAATGAGAAACTCATTGGAGCGGGATCTGGCTCGATCCCGCAGGTCTGCTTTAGAGATTTTCTTGAAGTTATATGACGTTTCTTTGCGATTCGATTGTGTATACGGGGTAGTAATTAAATTAAATGATATATTTGTATATTTCTACTAAGGTAATTACTTTTTCCTATGTGTATTATCGAGTTACATTTTTTTTCTATTTATAAATTAATATATTGAAGCAAAGGTAAACCAAGTCTAGTGTTACCACCTCTCTTATCGTGTAGAGGGCGGCTGGCGTGGCCCGGGTCTCTCTTTGTCTCTCCAATGTGGCTCTCTCTCTCTCTCATTCTCGCTCCTCCCTCTTGTTCTCTCATTCTCTTCCCCTCCCATTCTCTCTTCCTCTTCTTTCTCCTTCCATCCCACCCATTCTCTCCATGATTTTTTCTCCCTTCTGTTCCCTCTCTCCCTCTGTGAGGGAGAGAGGGAACTCCCTATTGTAGCTATTGATTTCTCGAACAAAATATGTTCGAGTAATGTTGAATCGATGTTGATTCAACATCAATGTCAATGTCAACGTTAGTAACATTTTTTTGTATTAATACATTTAGATACATCTGCATTAGTGCAGCTACACTAGACTATATGAAGTGGAGTACAGTGTGTCAAAAAAGCTACCTACGTGATGCTAAAAAAATCCCCATCACACAGGTTGGTTAGTCATACCGAGGCATGTGATCAGTAGTCTGTACTGACAGACTCTGGGTGCATTATGAGGATATCATCAACACAAGAGTGGATAAGATAGCAGTCATACTAAAACTCCCCATCTCGCAGGATGGCTAGTCATACAGGGCCATATGTTCAGTAGCCTGCACTGGCAAATTTTGGGTACACTGTGAGGATATCTTCAAGAACACGAGAGTGAATAAAATAATTGCAAAGCTCCAGGTACCTCATGCCAACGGGTCTGAAAGGTCTAATAACTGGGCATTCGGTGGTGTAGTGTGGGAGATCATGCCGCAGTTCCTGCTCACAGAGTTTGCACCTGGAGTGCTCAGGATTGTGAGATCCGTCACCTGTAGCCACCTGCCACAGGTAACGGTAGCCACCTGCCACAGGTAACCGTAGCCACCTGCCACAGGTAACGGTAGCCACCTGCCACAGGTAACCGTAGCCACCTGCCACAGGTAACCGTAGCCACCTGCCACAGGTAACGGTAGCCACCTGCCACAGGTAACGGTAGCCACCTGCCACAGGTAACGGTAGCCACCTGCCACAGGTAACGGTAGCCACCTGCCACAGGTAACGGTAGCCACCTGCCACAGGTAACGGTAGCCACCTGCCACAGGTAACGGTAGCCACCTGCCACAGGTAACCGTAGCCACCTGCCACAGGTAACCGTAGCCACCTGCCACAGGTAACGGTAGCCACCTGCCACAGGTAACGGTAGCCACCTGCCACAGGTAACCGTAGCCACCTGCCACAGGTAACGGTAGCCACCTGCCACAGGTAACGGTAGCCACCTGCCACAGGTAACGGTAACCACCTGCCACAGGTAACGGTAGCCACCTGCCACAGGTAACGGTAACCACCTGCCACAGGTAACGGTAGCCACCTGCCACAGGTAACGGTAACCCAACCTGATCCTGGCAACCACTGTGTCGCACAGTCTGGTCCACGTTTTGTGCTGCCCTTAGATATAGGTTTCAGATCTGAACAAATCATAGCTTTTTAAACTAGTGCTTTCAGTTTTTATTTTTTTTTAATTTTTTATTAAGATATGAGGTACATCTGCATTAGTGCAGCTACCCTAGACTATATGAAGTGGAGTACAGTGTTTTTTTATTCGTTGGGATTCTCACGAGCACTCTATGGACAATCAAACCCACATTTCAGGCTTCGTAGCCGTCGTTGGGATTCTGAATAGGAAAAGTCCTCCTGATAACACGTCACATTTTGACCTCTACTTTACCTAAGGCCAAATATTGTCGTACAAGAAAATGAAATCGGTTCACGAAAGTGACGTACTGTCCCGTTTTCTGTTTTGAGTCCCCTGGCTTACTTGGTTAGGTTAGGAGAGGAAACTTTCATATAATGGTTTTCATGACGTTTTTTTTTTTGAGATATATACAAGAGTTGTTACATTCTTGTAGAGCCACTAGTACGCGTAGCGTTTCGGGCAAGTCCTTAATCCTACGGTCCCTGGAATACGATCCCCGCCGCGAAGAATCGTTTTTTCATCCAAGTACACATTTTACTGTTGCGTTAAACAGAGGCTACAGTTAAGGAATTGCGCCCATTAAATCCTCCCCGGCCAGGATACGAACCCATGACATAGCGCTCGCGGAACGCCAGGCGAGTGTCTTACCACTACACCACGGAGACTTGAAACCTTAGGAGAACTTCCTGCCCTCCTAACTTACCAGAGGACCCTTAACTTGCTGTTTTGGAGAAAATAATCCAAAATTTATTTCCATTTATTTTTAATTTTTAAATTACGTCCGTTTTCGGCCATATACGAGCAAACGGCCAAATTCAGACGTAATTTATAAGAGAACAGGTTGCAGCCCCTAAGCGTCTGGCCCGCACCCTCGAACACAGACACACACAAACATTCTCTCTCTTAAAGATATAGATGGTAAACAGAGACACAAATGCTGCCTACTATGATTATCTATCTTGAGGTTATCTTGAGATGATTTCGGGGCTTTTTAGTGTCCCCGCGGCCCGGTCCTCGACCAGGCCTCCACCCCCAGGAAGCAGCCCGTGACAGCTGACTAACACCCAGGTACCTATTTTACTGCTAGGTAACAGGGGCATAGGGTGAAAGAAACTCTGCCCATTGTTTCTCGCCGGCGCCTGGGATCGAACCCAGGACCACAGGATCACAAGTCCAGCGTGCTATCCGCTCGGCCGACCGGCTCCCTAAGTATAAGTAAACATACTGTACACATAGCAGTTACTGGCAGTCTCCGTGGCGTAGTGGTAAGACACTCGCCTGACATATCGCGAGCGCTTTGTCCTGGGTTCGTATCCTGGTCGGGGAAGATTGACTGGGCGCCAATCCTTAACTGCAGCCTCTGTTCACCCAGCAGTAAATGGGGTACCTGGTTGTTAAACGATTTAACAACCGAATGCCCGAAACGCTTTGCGTAATAGTGGCTTTAGGCATTGTATGTACTAGCTCTACCTATAAGTCAACCAATCCTTCTAAAAATGTATTGTATGTATGTACCTTACCTAAATAAAATTGTATTGTATTGTATTGTATTGTATTTGGCGGGTCATATTCCTGGGAACATAGGATTAAGAACCTGCCCGAAATGCTATGCTTGCTATAGTGGCTGAACTAGAATGTAAGAACCCTTGTGTATATATATAAATAAATAAATAAATCATATCTCTGTTTTATGCAAATCAGACTCGATAGGTTAAGTGGGTTGCTTGGGCGCGTGCATTTCTGGTTAGGTTAGGTTAGGTTAGGTTATGAAATGCTAGGTAAGGTTAGGTTAGGCTAGGAAAGGCTAGGTAAGGTTAGGTTAGGCTAGGAAAGGCTAGGTAAGGTTAGGTTAGGCTAGGAAAGGCTAGGTAAGGTTAGGTTAGGCTAGGAAAGGCTAGGTAAGGTTAGGTTAGGCTAGGAAAGGCTAGGTAAGGTTAGGTTAGGCTAGGAAAGGCTAGGTAAGGTTAGGTTAGGTTATGAAATGCTAGGTAAGGTTAGGTTAGGCTAGGAAAGGCTAGGTAAGGTTAGGTTAGGTTATGAAATGCTAGGTAAGGTTAGGTTAGGCTAGGAAAGGCTAGGTAAGGTTAGGTTAGGCTAGGAAAGGCTAGGTAAGGTTAGGTTAGGCTAGGAAAGGCTAGGTAAGGTTAGGTTAGGTTATGAAATGCTAGGTAAGGTTAGGTTAGGCTAGGAAAGGCTAGGTAAGGTTAGGTTAGGCTAGGAAAGGCTAGGTAAGGTTAGGTTAGGCTAGGAAAGGCTAGGTAAGGTTAGGTTAGGCTAGGAAAGGCTAGGTAAGGTTAGGTTAGGCTAGGAAAGGCTAGGTAAGGTTAGGTTAGGCTAGGTTAGGCTAGGAAATGCTAGGTTAGGCTAGGTTAGGAGGTAGGATTTTTTACGGAGTGACAAATCAAGAGAATGTGCTGACTGGAGAACTTACAGAGGTATTCATGATGGATTCAGGAATTCAACCCTAATATACGTTTAGTTAAGCCAGTTAAATTACTGACAAGTGACATAATTGGCTGACATACACAGACACAGTCACGACAGCTATAATGTCTTACTCTTGCTTAACTTGTATAGAAACTTCTCAGCCCTTAATCCTTAAGTTGCTCAATTAACTTACACTTCTCACTAATCAATTAAACTGGAGATTATCTTTCCTTATCCTTTTTGCAGGACATCCAGGCAATTGCTGTTGTTGGTTGCAACAATTGCTCAACATAACTAAGTGTTACTTAATGTTACTTGACCACTACATATAAGTATGCCATGCAGCATATATCAATCTACCTCTAAGAAGCACAGGGAACATTTCACAATTTCTAACTATTTGCGGGCACTCTAAAATAGTTTTTTAACTCTGAAAAAGTGACAATTGATTTTCAATGACATTTGATGTTTAATTATTGTCTGTAGTTGTACACATTAAACATGATTCATATAATTCTTTCACTGACAATAATTTAACAAGTTCTAACACATCTTTGCCTCCCTCAAACAACAAGATCAACTTCTTTTAAGTCCATAAGATCACTCGAACAATTCTTAACAGCTTTATTATAATTTTTAAGAACGTCTACCGAACCCCTTGACATTGTAAACGACCTCTTAGCTAACTCTCAACAAATCTAACAAAGTTACCGACTCTTACTCACCATTTCTAGGCATCTTAACACCTCTTCGATTATGGCTAACCAATCCCACCACCTGGCTATCTGTCATTTGATTAGCTAGGTCCAGACACCTTAATTAAACACCTCTTTGACTAGGCTAATTTACTACAGCTCTTGTTTACGTTTAAAACTTGTCCGAAACGCCATGCATGCTTGAGGCCTTTCAAGATTGTACCAATTAATCCCCAAAAATCCGTGCTTATACGCAACCCATTGTACTTTAAATAAATGAGTAACTACTTTCCACGACCTAGCTAACCTGTTCTGTCGTTTACAGGATGGACGGGGACGACCCGATGGGCGTGAAGTCGCCCCTCCGGTACGACCAGAACGAACAACACATCCTGGCCAGCATTGAGAGGGACTTCATCCACTGACACAAGGCTACAGGGGGGGCCCGGGGAGCGAGCGATGAGAGACTGGAGGAAGAGATCCTGCAGTACTGCAAGGAGGAGGGGATCCTGCAATTGTGCAAGGACCAGGGGATCTCTCAGTTGTCCAAGGAGCAGGGGATCCCTCAGTTGTCCAAGGAGCAGGGGATCCCTCAGTTATCCAAGGAGCAGGGGTCGATCCCTCAGTTATCCAAGGAGCAGGGGATCCCTCAGTTATCCAAGGAGCAGGAAATCTCTCAGTTGTCCGAGGAGCAGGAAATCTCTCAGTTGTCCGAGGAGCAGGAAATCTCTCAGTTGTCCGAGGAGCAGGGGATCTCTCAGTTGTCCGGGGAGCAGGGGATCTCTCAGTTGTCCGAGGAGCAGGGGATCCCTCAGTTATCCGAGGAGCAGGGGATCCCTCAGTTGTCCGAGGAGCAGGGGATCCCTCAGTTGTATAAGGAGGAGGAAAAGGGACCAGAGACAGAAGGCAAAATGTCCAAGGCATATCCAGAGGAGGGAGATGAAGATGATGAACTCGAGGAAATAGATGGCACTCAAGTAGAAAAGGAAAAGAATAGGGAAAAACTAAACACTAACGTGGGAGATAAATGGATGGAAGAGGAAGATAAATGGATGGAAGAGGAAGAGAAAAAGGAGATAGTAAAGAATGAAGTGAAAAATGAGGAGGGGGTGCGTGAGAGAGAAGAGATAGAACAAATGATGGAGGAAGTAGAAGAAATAGAGGCAGTGAAGGAAAAGAAGATTGAGAGAAAACTAGAGGAGAATGTACAGGAAATAGAAGAAATGAAAGAAGAGGAAATAGAAGAAATGAAAGAAGAGGAAATAGAAGAAATGAAAGAAGAGGAAATAGAAGACATGAAAGAAGAGGAAATAGACGACATGAAGGAAGAGGAAATAGACGACATGAAGGAAGAGGAAATAGAAGACATGAAAGAAGAGGAAATAGACGACATGAAGGAAGAGGAAATAGAAGACATGAAAGAAGAGGAAATAGAAGACATGAAAGAAGAGGAAATAGAAGACATAAAAGAGGAGATAGAAGAAATACAAATAAAAGAAGAAACAAGAGAAACCTAACGCCTTAAAAAGTAGCAAGGAGTCTCAGAAACAAAATACGAAAAACAACATAGATGAAGTAAACAATAAAGATACGAGAGGAACAAACGAAGATAACGTACACATAAAATGATAAACAATAAACGGTGACAAACAAGAAATATAAGGAAGGATCAGAGAAAAGCAAACAAAATAAATCATTTAAGAGACAAACTACAAGAAACGTTAGTCAGACATCGAAGAAACAGACAGAGTCAAAGAAAACGGATTTATGGCCAAAAAGATGGAAAATAAAGTTGGGATTGAGAGAACGGATTTCTTGGACGAGGGAAATGGAATACTATTATAAATTTAATACAAATGGGTCACTGTGTCTCGCCTGTCACTGTTGTAGACAGAGGCGCTGACGGGACCGGCTCCTCCTGTAGCTACAGTGTCATATCTGTCTATGGACAGACCATTCATGCAGTTGTATGTATACTACAATTAATTAAATAACAATTGTATATATATAAATTTATATGCGGAAAAGCCACATTTGAAAAATTGAAGAGTGCTGAATTTTTGGTTAAATTCGCCTTCGTCGGGGCAAGATAGAGAGGATAGCAGCTAGCTGTACACTACGGGTTCACCATAGCCCGTGCTACTTGGAACTTTTTGTTCCAGATAGCGAATCTTAAACAGCAACAATAGCTGTTATCCTTTCAAATTTTCACTGTGGTTATTCTGAATTACTGGGCCATGTGGACAATAAAGCAGTTTATATATATATATATATATATATATATATATATATATATATATATATATATATATATATATATATATATATATATATATATATATGTCGTACCTAATAGCCAGAACGCACTTCTCAGCCTACTATTCAAGGCCCGATTTGCCTAATAAGCCAAGTTTTCATGAATTAATGTTTTTTCGTCTACCTAACCTACCTAACCTAACCTAACCTAGCTTTTTTTGGCTACCTAACCTAACCTTACCTATAAATATAGGTTAGGTTAGGTTAGGTAGGGTTGGTTAGGTTCGGTCATATATCTACGTTAATTTTAACTCCAATAAATAAAAATTTACCTCATACATAGAGAAAAGGGTTGCTTTATCATTTCATAAGAAAAAAAATATAGTAAATATATTAATTCAGGAAAACTTGGCTTATTAGGCAAATCGGGCCTTGAATAGTAGGCTGAGAAGTGAGTTCTGGCTACTAGGTACGACATATATATATATATATATATATATATATATATATATATATATATATATATATATATATATATATATATATATATATATATATATATATATATATATATATATATATATATATATATACATATATATATATATATACATATATATATATACACATATATATATATATATACATATATATATATATATATATATATATATATATATATATATATATATATATATATATATATATATATATATATATATATATATATATATATATATATATATATATATATATATATATATATATATATATATATATATATATATATATATATATGACGCGAGAAATACGGCTCACAACCAGCTACCTATATTACGAGTAATGTAAATAAAATACCCAAATAAGTGTAATACCTGTAGCTGGTGTGGCCCGTTTTCTAACATCTTGCTCCTCTTGAAGTCTTAACAGACTTCAAGAGGAGCAAGTCTTAACAGTGAAGTCTTAAGAGTGAGACAGCAGTGTGTACATATATTATAGTGAGGAGGTCGAGTCTATATACTCCAGGTGGAGGGATAACTTAGGAATTTTTTTCCATTTTCTGTTCTGTAAGAAAATTATTAATTTTTTTGCAGATTGCATCGTATGTGTTCTTTACTTGGGAGTTCTTGTGCATAGTTGTTGATGTTCTGAATGTTCAGAGACAAGGTCTGAGTGTTAGTAACACATTTGAGCACATATCTTCATTAAACCAGGTGTACTACAGTATACCTTCACTACACCTGGTGTACTACAGTATATCTTCACTACACTTGGTGTACTACAGTATACCTTCATTACACCAGGTGTACTACAGTATACCTTCACTACACTTGGTGTACTACAGTATACCTTCACTACACCTGGTGTACTACAGTATACCTTCACTACACCAGGTGTACTACAGTATACCTTCACTACACTTGGTGTACTACAGTATACCTTCACTACACTTGGTGTACTACAGTATACCTTCACTACACTTGGTGTACTACAGTATACCTTCACTACACCTGGTGTACTACAGTATACCTTCACTACACCAGGTGTACTACAGTATACCTTCACTACACTTGGTGTACTACAGTATACCTTCATTACACTTGGTGTACTACGGTATACCTTCACTACACCTGGTGTACTACAGTATACCTTCACTACACTTGGTGTACTACAGTATACCTTCATTACACCTGGTGTACTACGGTATACCTTCACTACACTTGGTGTACTACAGTATACCTTCACTACACTTGGTGTACTACAGTATACCTTCATTACACTTGGTGTACTACGGTATACCTTCACTACACCTGGTGTACTACAGTATACCTTCACTACACTTGGTGTACTACAGTATACCTTCATTACACCAGGTGTACTACAGTATACCTTCACTACACCTGGTGTACTACAGTATACCTTCACTACACTTGGTGTACTACAGTATACCTTCATTACACCAGGTGTACTACAGTATACCTTCACTACACCTGGTGTACTACAGTATACCTTCACTACACCTGGTGTACTACAGTATACCTTCATTACACCAGGTGTACTACAGTATACCTTCATTACACCAGGTGTACTACAGTATACCTTCATTACACCAGGTGTACTACAGTATACCTTCATTACACCTGGTGTACTACAGTATACCTTCACTACACCTGGTGTACTACAGTATACCTTCATTACACCAGGTGTACTACAGTATACCTTCACTACACTTGGTGTACTACAGTATACCTTCACTACACCTGGTGTACTACAGTATACCTTCACTACACCAGGTGTACTACAGTATACCTTCACTACACTTGGTGTACTACAGTATACCTTCACTACACTTGGTGTACTACAGTATACCTTCACTACACCTGGTGCACTACAGTATACCTTCACTACACTTGGTGTACTACAGTATACCTTCACTACACTTGGTGTACTACAGTATACCTTCATTACACCAGGTGTACTACAGTATACCTTCACTACACCTGGTGTACTACAGTATACCTTCACTACACCTGGTGCACTACAGTATACCTTCACTACACTTGGTGTACTACAGTATACCTTCACTACACTTGGTGTACTACAGTATACCTTCATTACACCAGGTGTACTACAGTATACCTTCACTACACCTGGTGTACTACAGTATACCTTCACTACACCTGGTGTACTACAGTATACCTTCACTACACCTGGTGTACTACAGTATACCTTCACTACACCAGGTGTACTACAGTATACCTTCACTACACCTGGTGTACTACAGTATACCTTCACTACACCTGGTGTACTACAGTATACCTTCATTACACCAGGTGTACTACAGTATACCTTCACTACACCTGGTGTACTACAGTATACCTTCACTACACCTGGTGTACTACAGTATACCTTCACTACACCTGGTGTACTACAGTATACCTTCACTACACCTGGTGTACTACAGTATACCTTCACTACACCTGGTGTACTACAGTATACCTTCACTACACCAGGTGTACTACAGTATACCTTCACTACACCTGGTGTACTACAGTATACCTTCACTACACCTGGTGTACTACAGTACGTATACCTTCACTACACCTGGTGGACTACAGTATACCTTCACTACACCAGGTGTACTACAGTATACCTTCATTACACCAGGTATACTACATATTTCATATGTATTTGTATAGCGTTATACATAAATCCAAAATCCTTCACAAGTTACAGTATATATATTGTCAGGTGAGATGTTGCATATAATAGTCACAGGTATACGCACTGACGATATGATATACAACATATATGATATACAACATATATGCGGAAAATCTACAAAGAATTGGGAAAGGGAGATGAACGTTTCGGCCGATCGAAGCCGCTGTTAACACCAGCCTGACCGAGAGAAACAGAGGGAGGGTGGAGGGAGCCGGTCGGCCGAGCGGACAGCACGCTGGACTTGTGATCCTGTAGTCCCGGGTTCGATCCCGGGCGCCGGCGAGAAACAATGGGCAGAGTTTCTTTCACCCTATGCCCCTGTTACCTAGCAGTAAAATAGGTACCTGGGTGTTAGTCAGCTGTCACGGGCTGCTTCCTGGGGGTGGAGGCCTGGTCGAGGACCGGGCCGCGGGGACACTAAAGCCCCGAAATCATCTCAAGATAACCTCAAGAAGGCCAACAACTGGGACCTGACCACCCATCCCCAGGGAAAGATTGACACAGAAACAGGTATAGAATAGCTCAGAGGCCAGATTCACGAAAGCACTTACGCAAGCACTTACGAAGCTGTACATCTTTTCTCAATCTTTGGCGGCTTTGTTTACAATTATTAAACAGTTAATGAGCTCGGAAGCACCAGGAGGCTGTTTATAACAATAACAACAGTTGAATGGGAAGTTTTCATGCTTGTAAACTGTTTAATAAATGTAACCAAAGCCGTCAAAGATTGAGGAAAGATGTACACGTTCGTAAGTGCTTGCGTAAGTGCTTCGTGAATCTGGCCCGACAGTCAGAAGGAACAAGCGGTCATAGAATATATATGAAAGTATATGAAAGAGTAAACAAAAAGCCTCATAAAACAAACACATAATATTTGATTATAATTCTACAGTGAGACATTTTAACTTCCCTATCAGAGTTTTTCTTAAACTGTTGTGCAACATTGTAACTTAAAAATGAGTCTATATATATATATATATATATATATATATATATATATATATATATATATATATATATATATATATATATATATATATATATATATATGTCGTACCTAGTAGCCAGAACGCACTTTTTGGCCTACTATGCAAGGCCCGATTTGCCTAATAAGCCAAGTTTTCCTGAATTAATATATTTTCTCTAATTTTTTTCTTATGAAATGATAAAGCTACCAATTTCATTATGTATGAGGTCAATTTTTTTTTATTGGAGTTAAAATTAACGTAGATATATGACCGATCCTAACCAACCCCACCTAACCTAACCTAACCTATCTCTATAGGTTAGGTTAGGTTAGGTAGCCGAAAAAGTTAGGTTAGGTAGGTTAGGTTGTCGAAAAACAATTAATTCATGAAAACTTGGCTTATTAGGCAAATCGGGCCTTGCATAGTAGGCTGAGAAGTGCGTTCTGGCTACTAGGTACGACATATATATATATATATATATATATATATATATATATATATATATATATATATATATATATATATATATATATATATATATATATATATATATATATATACTATACATTATTTATAGTCATTTTATAGTACGCAATCTGTCAATTGTTTTACAACCAGGTCGTAAGTTACTGCTAAGTGCATAGGGGCGGAAAATGAAAGATCAGTGCCAAATCCTCCCACTCTGGCCAGGGGTTCGAACCTGTGTTGCTGGAGGTGGTGGTAAGGCGATAGTCTACAACACAGATTGCCTTTGGAGGGCGGGGAGAGCATGACAGGAATAAAATCAATAATCTTTTA